TCACTCCCTTTCCCCAGGCTCACTTGCTTTCTCCCCTACATGTAGCCAGATTTGAATGGAGGACTTCACTGGGTAGATAACCATTAGCTCTTGAAATTTTGTGGTACTTGTGAACTCTTACACCTATAAATAAGATGAATTTGTTTTTTGCTCATTCCCCCCTTTTTTATTGTTGTGCTTTAAAGTGAAAGTTTACAATTCAAGTTAATATCCCCTACAAAAATTTATACATACATACATTGTTATGTGACCCTAGTTGCTCTCCCTGTACTGTGACAGCACACTCCTCCTTTCCACCCCTGATTTCCTGTGTCCATTCAACCAGCTCCTGACCCTGTCTGCCTTCTCTTCTCACCTCCAGACAGGAGCTGCCCATTTAGTCTCAAAGATCTATTTGAGCTAAGAAGCATGCTCTTCATGAGTATCATTTTAAGTCCCATAGTCCAGTCTGAAGAGTTGGCTTCGGGAATGGTTTTAGTTTTGGGCTAACAGAGAATCCGAGGGCCATGTCTTCCAAGGTCCCTTCAGTCTCAAACCATTAAATCTAGTCTTTTTACTAGAATTTGAGTCCTGCACCCTACTTTTCTCCTGCTGCATCAGGGACTCTCTGTTGTGTTCTCTGTCAGGGCAGTCATTGGTGGTAGCCGGGCACCATCTAGTTCTTCTGGTCTCAGGCTGATGAAGTCTCTGGTTTATGTGGCCCTTTCTGTCTCTTGGACTAATACTTGCCTTGTGTCTATGGGGTCCTTCATTCTCCATTGCTCCAGATGAGTTGGGACCAATTGATGCAGAATAAGATGAATTTTTTATTTACTTGCTTATTTTAATAAAAAATATATCACTCTGGGAAGGTAAAAAAAGACCCTTATAAATATGTAGATTGCCTTTCATGCCTCAGAATATGAAATAGACGTACAAAAGAACATGCCATTTGAGATTTGCGACTACACTGTAGTTTTTATTTTATTTATTTAAAAAAAATTTTATTATGCATGTTCTCTATTAGTCATGAGGCAGAAAGCTATACATCTCCCCCTTGTGGTTCCTGTTAGTGTCTGCTGTTTGCATCTTCAATTTCTTCTAGCTCTCATCAGTCTCAACAAAAGGGTGATGTCTCAATCATACAATACTGGGAATCATGACCCAGCCAAGTTGCTACACACATTTTTTGGGGGACACAATTCAATCCATGACATTCCACCCTTTGGCCCCCCCAAATTGCACATCCTTGCAACATGCAGAACATATTCATCTCATCATATCACAGCAAAAGTCTTAACTCCAAAATCCGAAAATTCCTCTTCATCTGTGAAATCTAGAATACAAGTTATCTGCTTCCGAAGGTACAATGGCAGAACAGGCACAAGCTAAACATTTCCATTACAAATGGGAGAAATTGCAGGGAAAGAAGACGTAACAGGCACCAAGCAAGTTGGCAGAACAAATTACGTTAGCCCTCAAGGCTTTGAAAATAATCCTCTGTTCTCTGAGACAATTTACACAACAGCCCTGCCCTCCAGATTCTAGGCATTGGCTACAGTCTCCAGATTCTGAGTGGAGGCCCCTTGGCCCTGGGCTTCAGTTCTGCCTTCCAGGTCCAATGGGACATCAACTCTGCTCCTTCAGCTTTAGG